GCCGCCTCCGCCGCCGCCGCCGCCGCCCCTGCGCCAGTCGACGCCGCGAAGACGTGCTAAGAAGTGCTGAGGCGCTCCGCGGGGAAAGCGCCTGTGCCCTGCAGGTGCCGCCCTTTTCCGCAACTTCCAACTGACACGCTGTGACGCGGCCAGACGCGGCGCTCCCTAGAGGCCCTAGATGTAGATCTGTGTCTATAGAGTCCCTAGATATAGCATCTATCTAGATGTATGGAGGGCCTCCAGCGATCCCTTCGGAATGGCCCGGCGGGGAAGGTGGGTGAGAGGCTGACTATCCCGGATGGCACGTTTTTAAGACGAAACCCTTCGTATCGTTCTGCGTCATCATTGGCAAAATATTTCCTATTTCGCCTTTTGTCTTCACTTATTTGAGCTATTTTCTCCTTTAGAAGACCGAAAAACACACAGTGCGTTTAGTGAGCATGGTCTCCATCTCCGTTACATCACTTTTATTTGCTACATCAGTGTCAGACCCCTCCCTCCCCCCAAAAAAACAAACAATAACCGTTTCTCACGTAATACGCCTCAAAAATGGGGTTCTAATGTGCTTGGCGGTGGACTGAGAGGACGAGAAATGGCAGAATTTCGAGACAAACAGAAGCGAATTCAGTACGTCTATCACAGGCTGAGGAGCATATCCTGGCACGGCATCGGGGCCCGCGAAGCGGGGCCACCGAATAATATCTTTTGCCAACCGTCAAAAAAGGGTTCCGATTAAAAAATAATTTTGAGTAATCTGTGGTAAAATGTCCGCAAATATTACAAGTCAAAATAATAGTTTGTTGATGTTACTCCTCATGATTTCCATAATTGAATGTGGGGGAATTATAGAAAAAAACAGGATACAGAACGGTGACTGTAGTTGAAGGAGGGGGTAGTCACAGAGCAACCGCCACATTGTCTGTGTGTGTGTGTGTATTTTGGTTGTTTTCTTTTTTTTCACTTCAGTCAGCTGAGCTAGTTGACAGACTCCAACCGCCCGACAAGACACGTACTTATAAAATGAATTCGCAAAATGTCGGTGGGTGAAGTAGGCGATGTAAAACTAGAATAATGGAATAAATACATCAACAAATTCGTTGTTTGCTTTTCACACTGCTATTGCCCATTCTAAATCACGTACTTTACGCACGAAACGTTGAGGAAGTAAAGTTATGGATAGGACCCCCAAAATTCCAAGAATGGGTATCTTGATCGCATGAAGTGGAGAATGATGTCTTTGGAGGATAAATGGTTAAATCTAATTTATAAAATAATGCGTACCTAAATAAATTAGGTTCAAACACTACAAGGTTCACGATTGCCAACTTCTGATAAGAGTAGGAGCCCCATTTGGACATTCTGCACCGAAGTCTCGGGACACCTAGCTATTTTGAAACAGCAATATTTGCGCATTTTGGAAATGTTAGACATAATTTCGTTCGTGAAATCGCCCTATTAAATACCATTCGTGCTTTGGAAATTCTCAGATAAATTCCCTCCTCGCTTCGCGAGTCGTGGATTTATCGATAATTTCCAAAGCACTCGTGATATTCCCTATGATTATGTTACAGTACATACGCGGTCTATAGGACATCGACATAGCGATCGATGTATACTGCCTCTTAACATAGATGAGTAACAAAATGATTGGACAGAACGGAGAAGCGGTAAGAAATCTCGGATAGAATAATCGATATACTTTCTAAGATACACCGCCCTGATAGGGACATTTTATATGTATATTTAATCACATTGGGTTTAAAGTCACGAGTTGAATAGCCGTGTAAAACGCTTGATCTCATTAATTTAATTCTGAAAAGTCTGTTTATTTAAGTCAATTTCACAGTAAAGTCGCGTTTCTCTGTTTCATCATTAAAACCACGTCACTACAATTGTTCTTTAATACCATCAAAATACATTACCACTGAAATATAGCCTAAAATAAACACGTTTTTCTCAGAAATTATAAAATGTCACTTATACCGTTCTGATTTTCACCCATTCATTTTACGTGAGTATAAAAATAAATCAGAAATTATACTAAAAAGCTACAAAATAATGCCTACTTATTTTTACATAGTTATGAACTACTCCGCAATTTTGTTTCAAAAATTGTTTCGGACCCCTGTCCAGCGAAGACCCTTATCATATGCTCGGCCTGCTTATGTATTAATCCACACCTGACTACAAATTACGAAATCTTGGCCGCTTCGTCACAGCCTGCTTCCAAACGCCAAACTGCGCGAGATTTGCACAGTTTAATATCCAGCGCCCCGGACCGTGTAACGTGACTGGACGTGGGGCCGCAATGCCCGAGCCGACGTTGTCTGCGCGGTGACCTGGTTGAAGCCCGTGCGCCCGCCCGGCCGTGCATGAACGGCGGCTTTCGATAAG